CTCATTACTTTCACAAAGAGAGCATAATGGGGCGGGTGTCGTGGAGTGAGGCAGGAGAAGGCGATCGTGCAGACAATGGTGGTCTGGACGTTGGTGACCCAAGAGTGACGTACCACATAGGAGTTATTGGAGTACTGAATTGAGCACATGGTGCTCGGATTGGAGTTTGGAGCAGTTCCAAAGGGAATAGCTTCAAGGCGAAGACTCGACTCGGCTAGACTCACTAACGTCTAGCATCAAGCTGGACGGAATGAGGCGCTTCTAACTCTGTGACGGTTGACCCATCCGAGTGCCGCGGACTAGGCATGAGAAATTAACGAGTCGAGATTTACTCGCTTCGTTTTTGGGCTACTCGGTTTGGAAACGAATCGATAGGCATGAGCGCATGCTGATCGGGTTGGAGTTTGGAGCATTTTCAGGAGGAATATCTTTGAGGCGAAGACTTGAATCGACTAGACTCACCAATATGGCATCGAGCTGGAGGGAGACAGGCGTTGTAAGACTAGGAGACGGTTGACCCATCACAGTGCCGCAGACAAGGCATGAGCAATGGACTAGTCGAGTATTACTCGCTCCGTTTTTAAGTTACTCGATTTCGAAACGAGTCGAGTCGAAAATCACTTGAACGAGTAATTTCACCCCTAGCCCCAACTCATAACTCGTTACAAAATACTCGCAAGTACTATTCGCCTCGTTTTTGGCACCACCACCTCTTCTTCCCGTTTGCTCACCCGCACACGGGTACTCGTTATTTGCTTTCTGAATCGAGTAAAAAGTGTGTACTCGTGTACTCGCGAATACAACTCATCTTGACTTGTGCGAGTAGAATCCCGGAAAAAAATTACTTGCTACTCACCCAAAATGAGTATACAAAACAAGGCGAGGCGAGTCTTTGCTCATGCCTACCGCTGACCATATAATGGGATGAGAACAATGGCACCACAATGCGTGTGTGCATGGGCCGCTCAAATTCACAAATAGCCATAACCCACTGTGCATCACAAATAGCCTGCGTGCAGCGACACAACCTGTCTTTCGTGGCTTTCCGCTTGTTTGTTTCCATCAGATACCGGAAACTTGTATTTACTCAGGCATAGGCAGCTTGGCCGAGGCAGTCAGGTGCCAGTGTAACCTGCTTCTTATGAAAATAGCTGCACCTTTGATAGAAGGAGCCAGGGAGTGCTGAGTGCTCCGAGGACAAAAACAAGGGACAGGAGGGCCGGACCAGCACGGCGAGAATAGTTCAGCAGGAGATGTGGGAAGGGATGGGCAGGAGCTGAAATGTGCTCAAGTATGAAGGCACAGGACGTAGACGTGCTGGGTGGGGTTAGGCTTGGGAAGGTGGGTCAGGAGGGGGGGGGAAGGAGTGACATACAATGTGTTGATGTTGGTGGAGAACGCAGGGGGTATCGGGCCAGAGAGAGAATTGGACGAAAGGACTCTGCAGTGGAGTGGAGAGGGGGAGAATCAGGGGAAGGATGAGGGAGGGGGCGGGGAAGGGGAAGAACAAAATTGCCGTACTGAATGAGGAAGGGTTGGGGGATATAGAGAGGGACAGAGTGGAGGGCCAGATGGGAAAAGGCAAGGAGACCAGTTAACTTACAGTATACTCAGGGTTGTGAGGGCTGATAATGTGTCCCGAATGGATCCTTGGAGGCGGATGGAGCTTAGATATCTGATTAAGACAAGGGAGAAGACGAACAGGTCCCGCACGTCACATTCTTGGTCGACATTGGGACACAATCTGTAGGTTTGTTTTTGTTTCGTGACATTCCATGACATGGCAGTATACATTTGTACTTCGCATACGAAGAGGCATGATTTTAGATATTTTTTTACATATATATATTCTTTATGTTTAAACTATCCCCTGCACATTTGTCATTCCATGGTGTTATATTTCTACCCTTCCCTCCTCAATGCCGCACACAATCAACCCACCACCAGGTACACACTAAACCCGAAATTGTGATGTGTGACTCTAATGAGGGCTTCAGGCTAGGCAAGCACGGACATATTCTCGGTGAACATGTTCCTGCTCGGGCAAACACAATTTTGCCCTCACGTGCGAACAAGCGAACACAATTCTGAATCACGTGGTTGTGGCAAACCGACATGTTCATCGCCCACAAAACGTGTTCGCGCATGGGCGAACGCGAACATGTTCATCTCAAGTAGAGATACGAATCGATATTGTAGAGGGCAATGAATGTGAATCGATACCAAGCTTACTCAACTACACGTCGAGCAATGTTCAATTGTTCAAGTTCGAACAAAAAAATCAAAACTTTACTGTATGGGCCAAAGGAGACACGCCATTAGTGTTTCTAACAACATACTGTTGGGTTTGACAAGATAGGCATTGGATGGTCAGGCAGCAATAATAGGGGCCATTCATGCTGCAACGGGATTTGAGATGCCGACGAAGGCACGAAGGTCTAGAAATCGAAACGCGCGGGTAAGTCCTGAGATAAGTTCTCATGAAATCTCGTGAAAACTCATCTCATCATCTATTGAAAACGCGAGTCCTTGTACTGCTACAAAGAAATGCTATTCACGTTACTTAACCTTCTTGTCACCTTGTCCTTGCTCACTCTTTTGACTAGTCGCCCGTGTCGAGCTTGAAGCAAACTACTCAACTTGCCACCGCCACAGGGCCAGCATGATGCCATGGCGGGATGTTATGTCAAGCAAGCAGTGACTCACAGCTCCTGCAGATTGACCAGATTGGACCAGCTCTTGGGGATATATCCCTCCAGGTTGTTTCTGTTGAGGGACCTGCATGGCATGGGGGCAAGAGACATTTGTATCGTAAGAAACTTGGGCACGTCTCATGACTGCCTTTCCTGCCCTATAGGAGACGGTGATGCAGCAAGGATACAACCAAGATGGTGTGGGGCAGGGCGTGATATAATTGACCGTATCATATAGGGATGAGCAAAAAAACAAACACCTGTTTGGTTCGCCTCGAACGTGTTCGAGGCGAATCGAACAGGATTTTTTTTTTTTGGCTTAAAGTGTTCGCCGAACTGTTAGAATATTATGTTTCTCTAGTCTGCAGTGGGGTACTCTATAGTGAGTACAACCCTTTTAGGGTTTGCTATATGTATCCTAATGTTTGCTAGTGAACCCCCCTCTCTTCTTCATTCCTCGTTTCTTAACATGCTATCAGAGCATCTACGCTCCTGGCCCCTGGGCCCACCTAATTGCTTCCGCTGCTACTCTATGTACTACACGCCCCGTGGCGTGCCCCTCACGCGACCCTTAGTGGCCCCGTCACCACCCCTTGCAGCCCCGTCGCCGCCCTTCTCGGCCCCTCGCGGCCCCTTTGCGGCCCTGTTGCCGCCCCTTTCAGGCCCCTCGCGGCCCCTTTGCGGCCCGTCGCCGCCCTTCTAGGCCCCTCGCGGCCCTTTCGCAGCCCCGTCGCCGCCCCTATCGGCCCCGTCGCCGCCGCCAGCGGCCCTGACGCCGACCCTAGCGGCCCCGTTGTCGCCCCTATCGGCCCCGTCGCCGCCGCCAGCGGCCCCGTCACCGCCCCTATCGGCCCCGTCGCCGCCCCCAGCGGCCCCGTCGCCGACCCTAGCGGCCCCGTCGCCGCCAGCGGCCCCGTCGCCGACCCTAGCGGCCCCGTCGCCGCCCCTATCGGCCCCGTCGCCGCCTCCAGCGGCCCCGTCACCGCCACTTGCGGCCCCGTTGCCGCCCCTTTCGGCCCTTCCTCGACCCTGCCCCGGCCCCGCCCCGGCCATGCTACGTCGCCAGTCGCGGCGCACCGGGAGCACGTGCACCACCCCCCCCCCCCCCCCCCCCTTTTCCCGTCGCATGTTGAGGGGCGACCTGGTGGAGGGGGGCGAGCGCCGCCCCTTCTGCCGCCTGTTTTGGCGCCCTGGGAGGCCGCGCGTCGCCCCCCCCCCCCCCCTCCCCCCCCCCCGTAACCTCCCTACCCGCCATCCCGCCCTGCCCTGTGTTAGGGTTTGGGGGTGGCGAGTAGGGGGTGGCGGGTGTGTGGTCTCCCCTGCTCCTCCTCCTCCTCTGTCTCCCACTGCTGCAGCTGCCGCTGAGGGGGGTGGGTGTGTCGGAGTCGACGGAGTGGTGCTAGGAAGTGGGGTGTGAGTGAACCTAGGGGTGCAGTAGGGGGTGTGTGAAATGGGGTGGGATAGTTTGGGGAGGTTGAAGGGGGTGGCCGTCGCGAAGCCAGCAGCTCCAGTCGCCCGTGAGACTGTTGCGCCAGTCGCCCGTGAGCCCGTTGCGCCAGTCGCCCGTGAGCCCGTTGCTCCAGTCGCTTGTGAGTCCGTTGCTCTTGCCGCTCTGAGTTAGCCGCGGAGCCAGTTGCTCCAGTAGCCCGTGTGCCAGTTGCTCCAGTAGCCACTGTGCCAGTTGCTCCAGTTGCCCGTGTGCCAGTTGCTCCAGTTGCGCCGTGTGCCAGCAGCTTCAGCTGCCGCCCACTACCTCCTCTCCTCTCATATATATGAGATTATTTCATTCATGTATTTCATTCATTATTACCTTGCCAAACACATTTCTACCATCATCGGTATAGGCACACACCCTTACTGGCTCCGGCTGTACGGATCTCACACTTCCTGTATGCTGTGCCTTCTGCATTTTACCACTTATGTTTGCGTTTTTCCCTGTTGTGAACGACTTATGTACCGATTGTTTTCCAGCTCAGAGGAGACAATTGCTCCAACACTCCAATTTGACTCGTATTTTCAGGTTGGGATCAAGGCTTTTCAATCACCAGGCCCATTCTCCCCTCATACACTGTGCTTGCAAAGGGGACGCGGCGGGAGACAGTGGGGAAGTTTATGGCAAAGCCAGTGACCCTGTTTGCATACCCTGCTTCTTTTGATATAACACGATGTGGTCTAGAGCTGGCTTTCAGTGTCAACTTCACCTTCGCCCTAACTCACCAGTATGGTTCAGTCGGGTCCAATGGCTTTGCGTTTGTGATTGCGGCAAAGGCCAAGTTGGGAAAAGCTGAGGGCGTAGGGTATGGTGGAATGGGAATGCGGAGTGTAGCCGTTGAGTTCGACACGCTTACAAACGCCAAGCACAGTGATATGAAGAAGCAGCATGTGGGGCTCAACATAAATGGCCTGGATAAGTCCGTGGTCGCAGTAGAATCGTCATTCCCTCTGACCAGTGGTGATGAGTATACGGCATGGGTGGACTACGACCCTTGGAGTTGTGAAACAGTCACGGTGTTTCTGAAGGACTCCAACGTGAAGCCAAATGTGCCACTACTGCAGGGCAATTTGTCGCTGTGTGAGGTGCTGCAGCCTACTATGCAGCAGCCGGCGTTCTTCTTTGGCTTTGTGGCATCCACCACTGTGAAGCCCTTTCAGAGGCATGCCATTCTTAAATCTGGCATGAGTGCAGGCAAGTACTTATTGAGTGGGTTATTAGTGATGGTGATGGGTGTCGACATGAAAGCATCTGAGATGACGATGTTGTTTGTGGTGGTGGCGGCAGAGTTGCCAACAAAAAATGTGCCACTGTTGTGGCAACTAGTGCGAACTGGTCAGACCCAAGCCGTTTTCATGTGCGAACTTCAACATTGAGGTTGCGCTCAGCCATATAGGCTTACTTTGAAGTCGCAAAGAGACCACCCCAACACATGGGCAAACCTTGTTCGGCCAAGTCAGGTCCCAATTGAGAATCGTGGTGCATGGTTTTAGTGAGCTTGCGTTTGTAGTAGTTTCCCTTATAACCCAACGATCCTCTTTCAGCTGCTGTGGTTGTTTTTCCCATATGCGTCTACTAACAGGTGTGCTTCCACCCAAGCTAGTCCAGAGCACAACTCAAGGTGAGCGGTATTTCAGGTGACAACCATTATTTGAGATGGTCAATGGCAACACAACATGCATGATGAACCAATAAATGATCAGAGAGGACAGCACAGTTCTGCTCCTGCATAAATATGTCGGGTGCACAAAAACAAATAAGAATGGATTGGACAAATAGGTTTTCTTGTGGCACTTGTGTGTGTTCAGCAAGATTTCCAATGTTGATCTGTGCTTTTCGTAGCATGTGTGATTCTTAACTACCGTCCTCCCATGTCTCTGAATCTACATGTCTTACTTGATACACCCGTTATGCCCTTCACAGCCCTTGGCCTCGAATTAGCCTGGGGCGCATTTGCACCACCTGGGGCCACCCCATTCTTCCGCTATGTGAGCGCGGACTACGAATTGACAACAACCAATAATGATTCGTGGTCCATCCGTGACGCCCACACCTGGGACTCCGTGGGTTTCCTTGGCTGGCCTGTCAATAATCAGATGACTTGCAGTGAGTGGCATGAGGGTACACTAAAAAATTCAGTTTCACATCAAAGGTACAATGTTATTCAGCTTGTATGGTCTACGTCGTGTTGGACTACTGCATAGAAAACATTGCAAGTTCTAACTCAACTGATGCTGGTTGAACATTTTTCAAGTTCGAATGATACACAGCGCTGCACGAGGATTTATTGTTAGTGCCTCTAATTTTATATGTTTTTCACCCTCGCTTCTCTCAGGTGCATGCTGGGCGTATGCGGTGGTGGCGAGTGTGGAGGCAGCATATGGCATTGCAACGAATTAGATTGCTCCTCAGCTATCAGTGGGGCCACTCTTTGCAGCCATGGGGCTCACCGATACAAAGTGCACTTCTGGAGGCTCCCCCACTGCGGCCTTTGAGAAGCTTGTGACTCTTGATGGCAGCAGTGGACTCAAAGGAGGCAGTAACCAGGTAAGGCAACAAGAATGAGGATATGGTCATTAAGGTGAGGTCAGGTCATGAGAGATATGAATTTATGTGCACTTCAAAATTTTCAGAATGTGCGGTTACAGCACCTAATTCACTATGTTGGAAAATAACAAAAAGGTGAAAACCATTAATACTTCTGATGATCGTTTGTGGCAATGGTGGGTGGGAGATGCCTTGATTTGTGTCCTGATGTACCATGGGTCACTATTTTCTTTTCCGTAGAAGCATTGCATGACGACACCGTGTATCCTTGCTGAATCCCATCGCAGAAGCCACTCCCTCCCTTTTTTTTTTTTGATTTTTTTCTCCTGTTTCTAGGCAACACCATATCCGGTGCATGCATTTGAGCGTGCATACTTCAAGGGGTATGAGGGTCTCATGCTGGCTGTGCGGCGCCAGCCAGTGGTGGTTCATATCGAGGCCGTAGCTGACACGTTCCGTATCTATGATGGGGTGAGTCATTGCAGCATTCATATCCTATGGTGCACTCTTCTTATGAGGATGAAATGTACGTTCACGATAACACATTGCGCAGCATTATGGAGAACCTGTGGTTCCAGCATAGCTGCCTCTACATGTCCTCTGTATTTACAATGGATGTATGTCCCCTCCCCCTTTCTGCGTCAGACGTTCAAGTACCAAGATCCTGCTTGCTACACTGGCAGTCTGAACCATGTTGTACTCGTCATTGGCTACTTCATCAATAGAGATGACGGCAGCCAGAATCGCATTGCTCCTCCGTTCTGGATCATCCGCAACTCGTGGGGAGTTGGTTGGGGCGACTGTGGCCACATGAGCATGGCCATTGAGGGAGGGGATGGCGTTTGTGGCATCAACGTGCTGCCTGGCATCTACCCAATTGTCAAGAGTGAGGCATATATACCCTATCGTCGAGTGTGACTTTATTACCCCGTTGTCATACCTGATGCATTAAAATTACCGTCAAATTGTGGGTAACTCACCATCAAGGGTTAGCCATTTATCCTTCTGTCCAACGCAAGGGCACTTACTCTATTGTCAGTAAGAGTGGGGCTTTACCACTTCGGCGTAATGTTTGCATGCGATGGACATTCTTGCTCCCTTTAGAAACAAAGCGAAACCAGTGAGAGCGTGGTTATGGAGTGGGTGCTTGGTGTGGCATGGGTTGCAGTGTCAGTGGCAAGTTGTTTTTTCCTGCATCAATCCATCTTCCATCCTCATGCGTTTTGTTTGTATCCCCTTTGTTGCCTTTCAGTTCCAAGGGACCCCTGTAGGAGAAGCAGCTATCGTGGTGATCAGGATCAGTACGGCATAATGAACCCATATGGCCGATTCCCATGTCAAGAGGTCAATAAAGGGCAACGCTGCAGCTGCAATATTTCTCAAGTTACTCAAGATATGAGACAACCTTTTGTTGAGGTGGATAATGGAGTTGGCTCGAAGACATGTGCTTTTGGTAAGATATGGCTGTACCATTGTGTAACTTCGCATGCACGCGGTAAAAGGGAAGGGTCATGGAAAGTCTTCTTGTCGCACGATGTGGTTGGGTGCATGTGGGTGAGAGCATGGGTATACACGTTCTGTGTGGATTATCCCTTCCCCGCCTTCCACCACCGCGACCCCATGTTGCAACGGGAAAAAGGAGGCGTGTGCTGCATCTGAGACCACCGTGAGTGCCGAATTCGCAGCGAGGTGCAAGAGGCTTTCACATATTGAATCGATGTTGTCAGCTGCGTTCCTTAGGGTCGCATCGTGCAGTTGCTCAAACCTCATGCCTGATGGCTCTGTGCCAGCCCACTGGGTCTTGTTATAGTCGCACCGTTTGCAGCTGGGCTCAAATTGTTACCAAGACCACCGCGTGGGCTCCGAATCTGAAGGGACAACCGCAATCACTGCTCTCTAATGGCTATCTTGCTATGCCAGGCCAATGTTTCCAGCAGTGTCAGGTTGGTGGCGTGCTGGTGGCTTCTTAGTAAAGGACATTCCAGTCTGCAGCACACGAAATGTGCATGTGGTGGCGTTTGACGGTGACCGCAGGAAAATAATATGGCGGGTGACGAAAAGTAACAGCCACCACACAGGTATGAACACACGTTTTTGCATGAGGTGCAGTCGTGGGGTCAGACGGGCCGTGGCAAATCATGGGTGAAATAATAGACGACTTCGCGGAAAGGCGGTGGGTGACGGATGGAACTGGAAACAGAATAATGAAGAGAGCGGGCAGAGAGATGCCCTTAATTAGCCACAGGACAGTGCTGGGGGATAGGGCTGGCAGGGGAAGGGCACCAGTCTAAGGCTCTCTCTCTCTCTCTCTCTCTCTCTCTCTCTCTCTCTCTCTCTCTCTCTCTCTCTCTCCCTCTCTCTCTCTCTCCCTCTCTCCCTCTCTCTCTCTCTCTGTCTCTCTTCGCTTTTCTCTCTCTTTCTCCTAATCACTCCCTCTTCCTCTCTTTCACCCTCCATCTATTCTCCCTCTCGCCCTCCATCTCGCTCTTCCTCCCTCTCTCTCCAACTTGAACTTGCCTTCTATCTAGCATGTTTCAAGCATGGTTCAAACTCCGTCATGTCCCTCGTGGCCCGTCCTTTTCCTCTCTCCAATCTGTCCACTGTGGCAGTGGACGTGTGTGGGTCGTACTTCAAGAACCCCTGCTACGTGGGCACATGCATCAACGATCTCAAGGGCTCCTACTCCTGCATCTGCCCTCCCAACCACATTAAAAGAGCTACAAATTATGGCTTCCCCACCTGTGAACCAGGTGATGCCTCAACCGTTCAAGTTGTTGGATTTCATTCTTTCAAGTTGTCATGGTTGGAATGTCCAGCATAGCAAGGCAAATGTGCGATGACCTTTTCCGAACCTTGCTACCCTTTCTCTCTTTGCTTGATGCCTTTACGCTGCTCTCCTCACTATCTGCAGCGGACACCACAACCACCAGCATGACAGTTAGTGGGGACAACGGGCAGTGTTCGGATGTTTATCAGATTGTTGGCATCTCCATGGAAACTTTCTATGCTAACAATTCGGTGAGAATCAAGTTGTATGGGCACTCGTATTATTGACAATGTTGAAGTTTGTGTTGGACACATGTTATTGCTTGTGTGCATCAGCTGTGTTTCGAACACAATCTTTTCACCTAAAACATTTCAAATGTCCTGTAGTGGTGTGCAATGCTGATGGCCACACCCTCACACTCACCCCACGCTTCATGCATTTCTTTTCATATAACAGGGGATCTGCAGCCAGCCATTGCTGAAAGGCACAGTTCTTCAGCTTGGTGGTACTCCTGCCACGCCTTGTACTGCCTTCTTCTACACACTCAAGGTCTGATCAGTTTGTTTCTTGATTTCACCACACCATGCTTTTTACAAAGCTGGCTAGCCATGTAAGCACCATCTGAATGTAGTGGTACCATGCGCTCATCATGCGCACTCTTCACTGTCATTTACAACCCTGCAGGGTGACACCTGTTCATCTCTCACCAAGCAGTTGGGTGCTATCAATCTGGCCATTCTCAACCCCGGCCTAAATTGTTCGTCCGGTGGCCTAAAAGCGGGCCTGTCAGTATGCATCGAGCGCAGTGCTGATTTTGCCAACACCGTTTTTTTTTGTGTGAGATACAGCACGCTGACATCTCAAGACACGTGTGACAGAGTGCTCAATAAGACAATCAAGGAACTAGGTGCCGCGATAAATGGAACCCACTGGGCTGATCTCTACCGCAGCAATCCCGGCCTCACCTGTTCAAGAACGATCCCTAGCGAGACTAAGGTGCAGGTAAGGGTTCGGAGGTGCAGCGTGTCATTGTACTGCCTGAATTCCCATGCCTAATATAAACGTAATGGATTCCCGGATCCCTGGAATCCATTACCCGTGATTTTTCTGATATAAGCGCACCCTTTAATATGGGTGGGTGCTTATACAAGGACAAACGTGTCCTACATCTGGTATCCAATTATAAGCACACACATGTCAGCATCCACATTCACTTTAGAAACAGATCCTCTTCATCGCACAATTTGCATAAGTAACTAAGGTTCATAGAGTGATTAAGTTTATCGGTTTTGGCCCTACAATGTCTTGTCTTTATTCAAAAGCATTTTGCCCTCATGAGATCTATTCTTCATCTGTTGCCAATTTTCACCTGTAACGTTTGTTCACTTTGCTTCTTGTGCCAGATTTGTATCAAGGCGGAGTATTGGTCCTTCGCAACTGGCAGGTGCAAAATTGGCTACAATACTTTACTGGCCAGGGAATTGTCGTGTTTGAGTGTACTTGCAAAGTTTTTCAAGGGTGGTCAAGAACAGTTCAAGAAGTATAACGTCAAGAATTGTACTGATAAGGTACATGGTTCTATATGTACGCCATAGTATTTTTGCCATGTGGCCTTTTTTATCATCAGGATTTAGCTTACTTCGCATTATAGACCCTGTGCATGGATTCTTGTTTTCTGTATCACCAATACCTTTACGTGTGTGTGCCTTTCAAAACACCTACATGGAGGTGACACTGCCATGTTGTACCAGCAAACACCTTATGTGTGCGCAACAAATGGGACCATTTATGCGCTGTTTGGATTTCTATTGTTGCAATTTTAAACATGGCATCCATCCTCTCTCTGGTTCGGTGTAGCCCCATTGATAAGGACCTACCGTACTTCACAAGTCGTCAGGATGTACGTTTCCCTCGAAAGATGTACGCTGAAAAGGATTTCGCATGTTGCTTTCCATGCGTGGTGGCTCCAGCGATCGTTTTTTAATCCGCTGCTGTCAAGTAACCCGTTCGACACCACTGCATTTTGCGAACCAATCTACGGTAGCTCTGCCCCAACCAGCCTTCCCTAGCATTCTGTAGGTTTAAGCAGTAGGAAGTCTGGTTCACATAATTTTGGTAACGATTCATTACATACATGTCATGCCAAGCTAAGGAAATTTGCTCAAGTAGAACATTATGTCAGAACTTGAGCTTAGAATCCATGCATTAGTAATGAGCTTGAAGCTCTTCAAGTATTCCAGATGAGCAAGGAATCGACGGGTAGGGAATCGGGGGCAATATCTAGGGGTTGAGGGTAATCCCAAGTCAATCTCCAATTGGTAAGTTGGAGATTGCTTGGAGATCACATTTGGGTTCTGTTGGAATGTGGGTGTACACATGTACACCCAAACAAACACAAATTGTGAGATTTAGGGCTAACACTAACACCCCCCCATAGACGTCAATCGAACTCAAGGCAGAGAAGGCAGGGCACACAGCCACATGGCGCCAAGTAGACGATGGTGGGGAACCTTCCCAAGGGGCTTGGTGAACAGATCAGCCAAGTTGAAGTTGGATGCAACGTACTTCATGGTCAACTAATCACGCTGGACATGGTCACGCAAAGTTCGATGTGCTTGGTGGGAGTTCCTGGGAGAGATGGATGACTCTCTTGTTGTCAGCCTTTTGATCGAGGAGGTGAAAGGCCATCAAGTGTGAGTACATGAGACTTGGTGCCCTGCAGATAACGCAGAATCCGCTTCGCCGCATTCCAGTGGAGATTGGTCCAGCGTCCAGGAGCCACATAGCAAGAGAGGACACTGACAGGGTATGCCAGGTCAGGCCAAGTGCACATCATGGTGTGCATGAGGGACCCAACAAGCTCCGTGTATGGCTTGGAGCAGTCCTCTGGTGTGGGTATAGCTGGAGCTTGTCAGAGCTTGCGTCCTCCTGATTCGTCGGTGTTGCCACCCTTTCTGGGCGATCATGTCTCTCCCGCCACGTTCCGAATCTCGTTAGCGCCGTCCTTCTGCCAACAATTGCACCTCCTCCCCCCCTCGCCCCACGCCTTCTGCCCGACCCCCTTCGTGCAGGATTCCTGCCTCTTTGCCCACCCCGTCCGGCCTGCAGAGCTCTTCCTGCCGAGATCCACAGGGTTTGCGTTGGCCCTGTCCGGCCCCCAGTTGGCTATCCCTGCATGATTCCGTGGCTGTGTGCCGAGATGCGTGTTTCCTGTCGAATTTGTTGTGTTGCCGCGTTCGTTGCATTGTGTCACGTCGCGTATCGTCGTCCGGCCGCCTGCAGGCTGTGTTGGTCCACCGGTGTGTCCGTCGTTGTCACCTTCAATTGAGTCTGACGCACTTGCGCTTGTGGCGACTGTCCTTGAAAAAACCATCCCAAGAGGGGCCTCGGGTGGCCAGCGCTGCTCCGAGCTGCTGCGGTGCTGCCTGGGGGCTGAGCTTATTCCTAGCCTTCTCGCGGACAGCGTCATCGGCATGCGGCTCTACGAGCCGGTGTATCACTCGCCACCTGGACGCACCCACACTTTCCTGCGTCCTTGGCAGCAACGGCCGTTTCGATGCATGCACCACCAGCTGTTCCACCCCCGTCGGCAAGTTCATCGTGTCGTCCTCCCGCAGCTGCCACTGCAGCAGCAACAGATGCAGATGCAGCAGCAACCGCAGGCTCCTTCCCTTGTTCCTGCTCCTTCTCCGCCTCATAAACCGCAGCAGCCACAGCAGCAGCAGGGGCAGCAACAACCGCAACATCCTCCACCAAAGCCTTCACAAGTTGCGGCACCACCTCCTCCTCAGGCTGTTGTTCCGCCTCCTGGACCTTAGAGGGAGCTCCCCCCCGTTCCTCCTTTGTTGCGGGCTCATTTCCCGAAGCTCTTTTAAGGGGATCGGCAGGTTCCGTTCCCGTAGGCTCCCCCTAGCTCGCGTGTGGTGTCGGCCGATCTAGGGATTGATAGGCAGGGGCGGTGGCCTGGGGAACGTCTTGATAAGGGTGCTTAGGGTGAGAATCCACCTTCCGAGAGGCTGCTTCTCATTGAGCAGCGCGTGCTGACCTTGGGGACTTCCTTCAACCATTTGGCGACGGTGTTGGACCAGCTTCACGCGTCACTGCAGCGTTGGCATGTGGTTGCACGTGACCCTCGTCTCTCACACTCGGAGCAGGCAAATGTGGCTGAGGTGGCATCGCAGATGCTTCAGTCACTCTTGCAGTTGGACCTTGAGCCGGATGAGCTGGGCGTCGATGACAGGCCTGGCACGTACGCCCTTTGGCAGCATACTTCTCCTGCACGGCAGGCGCCACTCGACCTCGTGCCAGCTGCAGAATCCATGCTACGCAGAATGGACAGACGTCTGGCTTTGATGCTTGCCAACTAGCGGCGGACTTCCCTTTGCCAGCAAGCCTAGCCTTCATCTTCTCTCTCTCTTTCTCTCTAATGGTTTCCTCTCACCAACCCAGCGGCTCTAATGGTTTCCTCTTACCAACTCTCTCTCTCACTCTCTCACCGGTCATGCATTGATATTGATAGTATTCATAGGATACAGGCAGGGCAGGAGTGGTGGCTAGCTAAGCATAGCAAAACATGCAAGGCAAGCACCAAGAGCGAGCAAGACCCATGAAATTCCAAAGACAAGCAGAAAACCTGGAAACCGGAAAACCAGAGCCCTGAAGCCCGAGCAGCCCAAGACCCTCCGTCCTCTACCATATTAATCCCCACCCCTCGTTGCAGCAGCACCCCACTTCTACCCTCTCGGCCGTCTAAGCCGCCCTGGCGGGGGTGTGCCTTTCCTCGTAGTCACCAATCTAGTGTCTGCCAGAGGTCCCCCAGGTGTGGGGCCGAGGGGTACAATGCTGTCTGGCTGCTCGGGTGCCATGTTTCTCTTAGAGAGAATAGAGGTGGCCTGGCTATGCTGTAACATCACAGACCATTGCTGTCTGTAGTGGGCATTGAGGCGGGCTGCTGTGGTGGTGAGATGCCCCTTCCTGAACTTGTTCTTAGCAGCATGTGTGGCCAGCATGCAGAGGAACTGCACTGTGTCTGTGGCTAGGGCTCCATAGGTCTCGACTGCAAGCCCAAAGAAGCCCACCCAGCTTGGCCGCCCCTCATAGATGCAGTGCTTGCTCTCAGAGGCTTCTCTCGCCGCCCACCCAGGAGGCTTCAGGGCTCTGGTGTCTCTCCTTTGCAGCACGGGGCCCGTGATATTCACATCCGTTGCCCAGGTCTCTCCCGACTCCTGGTCCCTGATCGCCATGTCCGCCCGCTTGCGAGTTACTGGAGGTGAGAAGGTCGTAATCTTGTGGAAGGTTTTATACCCTGCCTCATTGGCCATGTGGAGGGCGGCGTAGACCAGGGCGTTGTGTGCCCGCACTGTGTCCCCTCTGTCGGTGCAACAAAGGAGATAGTTCGGGAGGCTTTTGTCCTCAATCTTGGAGTTGTCGCGCTTGCACGGGCATATGTCTGCTACGGGGAGGGTCATGCCGAGGCGGAGACTTAGCGCCATTCAGAACTGACCAGGGGAAATAGAGGGGTCAGCGCTCGTTGGCACCGCATGAAGCCACTCACCCACCCCGCCTCCTTTCAAACTAATGAGTCACAACACATGGCAACGGTCCTCCCCCGGCTTGTCCTTGATTTTGTCCGCCAGTAGCTCTAGCGCCCTCGTCTGGTTGATCAGCTTCAAGAGGCCTAGCTGCAGGTTGCCTGTGCTCGCATGGACAGCCACATGTCTCTACCGCCGTGGGAGAGCCCCTCCTTTTCCTGGCCGTAAATTCCACCCTGCCGTGGGGGACGAAGCCAGCAAATTCCACCCTGCCATGGGAGAGCCCCTCCTTTTCCTGGCCGTCTCATCTTGAGTGCTTATGGGGTCAGTGACAGTGATATCACCTAGCTAGACGGCTCAGATCTCCAGTTTCGAATGGCCAGGTCCGCCTTTTTACTGTCAACCCAGCTGAAGGCGATGCTTTCTTTGTGCACCATGAAGCCCACGTCCTGTGCCATATGGATGCATTCGTCACGTGTGAGTGTTGGTCCGCCCATGACCTGTGCCACAGTGGAGTAAGTGGTTGGGCTGTCATTTGTCCAGAATGGCGGTTATGTTGTTGCACTCGCAGCAGTTTGGGAGAGGCAGAGGCAGCCCTAGCCGGAACTGAAGGGTGAAGGTGAAGTGCTGGCTGAGCCGGAGGGAGGGCTTGTAGGAGATGGCGAGCAGCAAGTCCCCTGCCCCGTATCCTGTGAGGGACATGAGTTACTAGGTGTGGCTTGCCACCAGATTCAGCTCCACCTGCCAAGACGCGGCCACCCTGGACGAAAAGTGCTAGGTGGTGCTGGACCTGGCCATTTGGCGTTGCGATTTCAGAAGCGAGGAGGTCCCTCGCTACCTGGGAAAGGCTGGCCTTGCAGTTGCTGATCCATGAAAGTAGTTCGTTGGGGCGGTGGTCGGCTGCCACGGTGCATGTGAGTTCAGCTGTTAGGGTGGCCCCCGCTGGGCCCTGCATGGGACCCAGGAGGGCGTGTGCTTGCACAAGGCTTGCCAGGAATCTGTAGCGCCCTTCCATCGCGGGATCAGCCAGGCCCAAGCCTCCAAGGCTCGGGGAAAGGGAGGATTGGTCCCACCCCCGTCTCTACTTTATCTCACCCCTCGGGTGATGCACACTGCACGTGATTGTTGAGCTGCGCTTGGCCCCAACGTGACCACTCACGTTCACGCAGTGAGAAATGAGATCCGTCTTGAGATGCACCACGTCATAAGTAGAGACGCCACCTGGGGGTCCATGTCGGCTATGTGAGAAAGAGGAAATGACATGGCCTGCAGTTGTGCTCGCAGGAATGCAGCAGCGCCTTCGGGTGAGCCGACGAAGCTGCTTAGCACACGCAGACCCTCCGTGCAGAACGTGTCCCCTTCCAGCAGGACGTGTGGATTTGCATGCACCGCACTCCACACCGCACTCCACGCCGCACATTTCCATAGGCTATCAGTGAAGTGGGTGAATGCCGTTGTGCAGTTCGCTGCCTTTCCCAAGAAGGTGGCGTCGTCAGCAAACACCATGCACATGATGGTGGGGAATGTCGCGGCTGTCATGGTGAGGGCTGGTGGATCTCTGCTACGAAGAGGAGTGGGGCGAGCGGGTCCCCTTAGTGCACACCAGTTTCGCTGGTCAGCGGCGCACATCCGAAGCCAGCGTCTAGGAAATGCTAAGCCAGTGTGCTGTACGAAATTTTGACAAGGGGGAATCCTTCAAGCGTGCTAATCCCCTGTAAGGCGGCGCTTCTTGGAGCTCGGATCCTTGAAGAAAATGGCACGGGAGTCCTTCGCCAGCATAGCATCAATACGGCGGTGGGTGGGTGGGAGGTGCTGCAAACCGTCGGAAGCACTTTCACGGTGTTGGCTGCCACTCCCATCACCCCGACATGGAAGAAGCCCTCTGTCGCCATATCTTCCTGAAGCGCGCCAAGGGGTTGCTGATCTCCGTCAAAAAGACGCACCGGTGGAGCCGAGAGTGGATGAAGAAGAACAAGCCCGACAAGCAGTGGAACGCATCCTCGCACTGGAGCCAGTGATTCCGCGATCGCTGAAACTGTGTGATGAGGGTGGAGACCAAGGTTGGGCAGAAATTGTCGGAATGTGTGTCATTATCCTACATTTTTCTCAATGCTGTGCTCCTTGCCATCGAATTTGCACCAATAACGCCATATCCTGGCTTTGCGTGTATGTGTGTGCATCATATTGTTTGCTAATAAGTGTGTGCGTCTTCTCTGTCCAGTTGGCAGAGTGCACCAAGGACTGTGAAGCCCTCTGCAAATTTGTGCGGATCCAGCGTGCACGCCACGACATCGACCCATCACGCATCACCAACGCGGATCAAACGCCTCTGTTTGTGGAGATGCCGACGGAGAGGACCATAGAGCACAGAGGCACGCGGTCTGTCCCCATCCGTATGGCTGGCTACGAGAAGCAACGACTCACCTTGTTGCTCACGTGCACAGCTTCAGAAGAACATTTTGTGGTCGTGGGTGTGGTTCAAGATGAAAAACATCTCTAAGTGTGACCTGATAATTTTGCTTACGCTTGTGCTTACACATGTGTAGACGTGTTCTGAAGTCCCTTCTTTTACATTGCTCGGCAGGTGTTGTGGTCCAAGCCCAGGACAATGGGTGGATGGACGACACAGCAGTGAAGACGTGGCTGGCGAAGGAGGTGCTGCCCTTCCTCAATCCCAAGAAAGAGCAGTCCGCGCGGCGTTCCATGCTAGAGCTGGTTTTGTACCGCGAGCACATCATGCAATGGATGCTGCAGATGTATTGAACGCACTGCATCACCCAGGCCGACATCCCTGCACGTTGCACTAGACAGATTGAACCACTAGACGTGTCAATCAACCGCTGTAAGCAGGTGGTTCATGCATCAACCAGTACGCCAAAAGGTGAGTTGCTGAATCTCAAACCTTGAATCTCTGCTACACCTTTCAATCTGCCATCTCTACGTTTATGTCTATCTTTATCCACACCTGAAGTCACCTTCTATCGAATGTGCCCTCCCATCCCCCACAGGGAATTTGAGGAGGCGTTCACACCAGCCTGATTGCAGAGGCGTGGGAGCAACCTCGAGGCGTTCAAGACGTGCGGCATTTCGGGCAACCTCGACGGGACAAAGAGTCACTTGGTGATGTTTCACATGCGCGCGAGGAGCAACACCGACGTGCCTGAAGGCATGACGCTGCGAGGGAGCACAAGCGACAGCACGCGCCTGCTTGCTCAAGGTCCTGGGGGGAGGAGGAGGAGAAGGAGGAGGAGGAGGAGGAGGAGGAGGAGGAGGAGGAGGAGGAGGAGGAGGAGGAGGAGGAGGAGGAGGAGGAGGAAGAGGAGGAGGAAAAGGAGGAGGAGGAGGAGGAGGAGGAGGAGGAGGAGGAGGAGGAGGAGGAGGAGGAGGAGGAGGAGGAGGAGCTGTATGCTATTGCCCCCTGCTACTGTGGGGCTGGGGCCCTTGCTGGTCGCCTCGTGGAGCCGGAAAATACTAGGAAGCATGCATTGAGGGTGCCAGACTTCGAGCAGCAGAAGCCCATCTGGTAGTGCAGATGAAGATGATGAGGCGTGACCGAAGGAGACTAGATACAGTAGACATAGCAGTACATAGCACGTGTGATGCCTGTCCCCTTGAATAAAGCAAAACCATTTAAAAGACCTCTCCCGTTTAGCAGGAAACCGTTGAGCAGGAAACCCTTAAACCACTAACCCCTAAGTTTTAGACACACTTTCTTGTCCTATATCCAGAAAATTCAGGCAATGACAGTATTGGCTCCAGGGATTAAGCAGCGAAGTACAGAAGTAGTGGCAATCCGCTTTGTTGGCGGATTGCTGTCGTTCTGTTACGGGTGCAATGAATCGAGGTAGCGAGAGTTGCACTAAGGTGTCAAATGAGTATCAACATGTGAGTGAAGGCATGAGTGAACATTTATATGCGAAACGTGCAAACGGTAACGCGGTGCGTGCGAGCTAGCTAGTGCTACGCTGGCAGCGAGGCTCGGGCTAGTCCCGAAGCGTAGGCCGACACGGCCCGGCCAGCAGTGCGAGGTTTGGCAAAACAGCGCGCGCAAAGTTGGCGAAGTCCCGTTAGCAGTAACAAGCGAACAACGGTTGTTGCCGTACGCGATGTAGTCGAGCTCCGTAAGGAATGCCCAGAAAATTCCTTACACTACCCCCCCCCCTCAAGAAGCCCCCTCCGCTACGCGAGTGTGTGTATATCGCGGAATCCCCGGCTCCTCAAGTACACTTGCAGAGTAGGGTGGTTTTCAATGTTGGCCAGGGGCACCCAACTATCCTCAGTTGGCGTGCGGTCCTTCCAGCGAACGAGGAATTCAATCCTTCTGATTCCCGTGGGGTGTCGAATCCGATGGCTCAGGATTTTTTCGGGCTCGATGATCGGCTCCGATGCAGGGCGAGTCATGGATGGCGGGCGGTGGCGAGGCAGTTGGCTTGTGGTTGGGATGTATGGGCGAAGCAAGCTGACGTGGAACGAAGGGCTGATATACCAGTTGGTCGGTAACAGTAGGTGCGTGGTTACTGGCGTGATCATGTGGCTGATTTGGAATGGGCCACAGTAGCGTGGTCGAAGTTTCGGGACGTCGGGCAGTCGCAGATTTTGTGTGTCGAGCAGTACGTAATCCCCTGACAAATATGTGATGGGGCGGCGGTGGCGGTCAGCGTTGCGCTTAGCGATGACGTTTGCTTTTTTAATTGCTTCCGCGGCTCTGGTGCGGGCAGCTTGCAGAATTTCGGCGAATTGTTGCGCACGTGGTGTCGGGTTGTCCGGAATCGGCGTCATGGGCACTGTAGGGTTTTGCCCGTAGTTCAGGTAGAAGGGTGACTGCTGCGTCGTCGCTGACGTGGCATTGTTGTACGCGAACTCGATCAATGGCAGCTGCTGTTCCCAAGTCGTGGGGTCGTCGCACGTGGCACGAATCAACTGCTCCATCGTCTGATTCGTCCGCTCCATTTGGCCGTCGGTCTCGGGGTGGTACGACGAACTGAACTGTAGCCTGGTCCCGAACTGCTCCCAGAGGTTTTTCCAGAAGTTGCTGGTAAATTTCGTGTCCTTGTTGCTGATAATCGCTGCTGGTATCCCGTGCAGGCGAACAACGGCTGCGATGAACAAGCGAGCGGTCTCCTTGGCTGAGATCGACTTTTTGCACGCAACGAAGTGTGCCATCTTCTTCAGCCTGTCAACGACGACCATCACCGCGTCGTTACCCCCAGGGTTCGAAGGTAACCCTATGACAAAGTCCATGGTAACCTGCTGCCAGGCGTGCTCGGGCGGTGGTATTGGCTGCAATTGACCCGCCTTCCGCTTCCTTGAGCTCTTCATCACCTGACAAGTGGGGCACGAGCCCACGTGTTGCTGTACATCGGTCAACAGCTCCGGCCAGTAGTAGTACCGCTGCAGTTGCTGTCGCGTTTTTTCTACCCCAAAATGTCCCGAGGTAATCCCGTCATGTGCCTCCTGTAGTAGCAGCTCTCTCAGTAGTGCGTACGCGGGTACCCAGATGTGGTTGGTGCCTTTTTTTACGTAATAAACTCCTTTAGCTTCTGCGAGTTGCTGTAAGTTTCCAGTCGTGAAAAATGGGTTGGTGCGGTATCCGTGGGTGAATAGGCCTGTTAAAAGTGGGTTGGTTTGGGCAAGTAGGATGGCGTGGAGTTGGGCGGTGGGGCGGGTGAGTGCGTCGGCGATGTTGGAGGCGCCTTTTTTGTACGTAACCGTGTAGTGGAAGTTGGACTCGATGTAGCCCAACCAGCGAATCTGTCGCGGATTGAGATTTGGTTTGGCGCGTAGGTACTGTAGTGATCGGTGGTTTGTCCGTACAGTCACGTTGGCGCCAGTCAGATAACACCGCCATAATTTGAACGCGTGCATGATCGCCAACATTTCGCGGTCGTGTATCGGGTAGTTGCGTTTGGGCGGGTGCAGCTTGCGGGACTCGAACGCGATTGGCTGGAGGCCGTCCCCGAAATCCTGCAACAGTACTGCTCCCACAGCGATGTCACTTGCGTCGGTGACGAGCTCGAACGGACGGTGTGGATCTGCGATGTGAAGCACGGGCGGTGAGCACAAAATATTTTTGAGGGCCAAGAAGGCAGCTTGCTCTTTCTCCCCCCACGTATACTCAACCCCCTTCCTCAGCAGGTCGGACAACGGGGCAGTAAGCTTCGCCATGTCGGGGACGAACCGACGCACGTAGTTGACGAACCCCAAAAAACTCTGCAACTCGGTCAAGTTGGTCGGCGCGTGCCACGCTTGAATCGTCGCAATTTTCTTCGGGTCTATTTCCACTCCTGCAGCTGAAATAACGTGTCCCAAAAACTCCAGGCGGTTCTGTAAAAATTCACACTTAGACGCTTTTGTCAGTAGGCGGTTCTCACTCAGTATTTTAAAAACTACTTCGATGTCCTGTAAGTGCTGTGCTCTGTCAGGGCTGTAAATCAGTATGTCGTCCAGGTATACGATGACGCACTTATCTAAGAGCGGGCGGAAAGCCTCGTTCATGGTCATTTGAAAAGTGGCTGGGGCGTTGGTCAGTCCGAAAGGCATGACGGTGTATTCGAAGGATCCCTAGCGTATTTGGAATGCGGTCTTAGGGCAGTCGGGTGGATTGACGCGAATCTGGTCGTAACCCCCGCGGAGATCGATTTTCAAGAAATCCCGGGCTGTGTGCAGTTGGTCGATCAGTTCGTCGGCTCGTGGGATGGGGTAACGGGATTTGATGGTAACCCTGTTCAGTGCTCTGTAATATATGCACATGCGAAATCCCCCATCTTTTTTCAGTGTGAACAGTATCGGTCTGCGAAGGGCGACGAACTAGGGCGAATGAATTCCTTCTCGAGCAGGTTATCGCTGCTTCCTCAGTTCATCCAGTTTGGGCTGGGTCAGACGTAACTGTCGCTGTACTGTTGGCTGTGCCCCCGGTTCTAACTCTATCCTGTGGTCGTGCGGTCGCTGAGGTGGCAGTCCCGTCGGAAAGTCGTCCGGGAAAATGTCGCTGTACTGCGTCAACAGTGCTGCCAGGTCACTCGGTACGTCGGCCAGCAGTTTCTGTAAATCCCCTCCTTTGTCTGCTGCCTCGGCTTCCTGAATGTCGACCGCATACACGTTAGCTCGTGCCGCTACAGCGCGTTTCATCGTGATCGCGTTGACACGCACCGACGAAGACTCAGGTGAGCCCCAGCGAGGTAAGGCGATGCTGTTACCGTTCACTCGCACAGTGCAGTCACGCGTCGTCCAGTCGATTCGCGGATTGTGTCGTCGCAACCAATCACGCCCGAGTAGAATATCAGTTCCGTTGAGGGTCGTTGCGTGCATTTCCTGGCTAAATATGAAGTTACCCCCGCATCGAATCCGAACCCGGTCTACGCGTTCCCGTATTGCTAGCGGCGTGGCGTCTACCAGTCTTGCATCGATCTTAGGTAAGCATTTGTCCAGTGGCAGTCGTAGTTTTCGTGCTGTGGCAGTGTTGATAAGGCTGTGGCTAGCTCCTCCGTCTACGAAGATTTTTACTTAGTCCATCCCGATTTTCCCACTAAGCTGTATGGGGCTGTCTACCGTAATACCCTCCTCATTCGGCCGGGTGTGGTCGATTGCGTGAACCGGCACAATCACTCGGTGAGGGTTGGTTCGGTCGGGCGAGCGGCGTGACCTGTCAGTAGAGGGCCCATTTGCTACTGACTCCCAGTGTTTCCCTGCTGCTTGGTCTGTTTCTGCTGCTCAGCTTCCCCCTTTCCCTTAGCGTTTTCCGAGCGTTCGCTCTTGCGATGTCCCGGCCGATTGCACGCAAAGCAGCGCCCTTTGAATGGTGCGGCAGCGGCATTTGCGGCGACGGCATGTATCGTGGCGCCCTCGTTCGTCCCACGATGGCGATGTCCCTAATGGCTGCTTCTGTAGGACCCCGGTCTCGGTCGGCGGAAGAAGTCAAGTTTCTCCGCCATAGCAAGAATCTCTTGAAAATCGGTGACGCCGCGAATCTGGATTTCCTGAGCGATGTCCTGCTTCAGGCCGCCGATGTAGCGGTCGATGCGCTCTCTCTCGTGCATGTATCCCACCTGCTTGCATAGCGCCAGAAACCCGCTCGTATAATCCTGGACGGAACCGAGTTGGCGCCAAGTGCGTAGCCTCTGTCACGCCGCGATCGAAGCCGTGATTGGCTCGAAACGAGCGCGCAGACCTGCGCACCACGCGTCCGACGTGCGATACTGGGGCACCTCCACGAAATACGACGGCGCCCAGGGTCCGGTTTGTCCTTCCCGTGTCGGTAGAGTCGCGTAGTCCACCGGCTTCGTGACGATGACGCGCCACCAGTCCATGGTGGGTCCTCGCAGCAATGACATGGCGTAGCAAATCTTCGCCGTATCCTCGAAGAAGACATTCAACGTGAAGAGCCACGCCTGAACGGTAGGACCACCCCGCTGACTTGGGTCAAAGCATGGCGGACGCTGCGGCTTTAACGGCATCGGCGACGGAAGAGTTGATCCGCATGCCGGCACCGAAATCGTGACTTGAGGCTGCGTTCTGGCCGCATTCGTCG